GAAGAGATCACAGCTTGCTGCACAATTATGAAGCATAGGCACTTGAGTGGCTGGAACCCTAGATCCTTCAACATCTTGAAGCAGGAGGTATATACTTAGTCCTCTAGTACCAACTATTTCGCTTCTAAGCCAGAGGTTGAATTCGGGAACATTATGATATTGATGTTGTAGAAGAAACAGAGGTTGTTAATATGTGACCCTCGTAGGGTATTCTTATATGCTATCATAAATAGAATGTAGATCGAAGTATGAGCGTATGACCTCAATCCCGTTGATTCCTGGCCCTTTCCTTATTATTAATTCTTGGAGGGCTCGAACTTTTAGATAGCTACACTATAGATAGAATCCATCTTCAGAGGTAGGATCCTACGTCCTGAAAATATAATTTGGTATTGCCTAAAGGCCTCCAGCCATATTTGTGGGCTCGTTCTCAATCATATAAATAATATTCAGTTCTATAGGAATTTTCATGATGGGGGAGCAGTTAGGTATCCAACGTGGGAATAGTTTATATGACAAACGATTATGAAAATGCTTCAAGCATATACTTTGGGTTTTAACATCCTCCTGTGGTGCTGTCGACCAAATGGAATTTATGAACCGTGCGAGATCTTCATTAATAATCGTGATTCGTCGGATATTAGTGAGTCATCAATGGCCGTCAAAATAGTGAACGAAGCGAATCGCGGTACGCCGAGACTTGGATTGGGAAGGACTGCCTCACCGAGCTCCGCGGCTCGTCCTTCTGATGCGCTCCTCTACCCTTCCAACACCCTTTCCCGTTCTATCAAATGTATTAGGAGGTCTCGAGCGATCAACACCACCACTAAATCGAGAATCTTCGCTTCGGCGCGATCTCGAATCGCTCCGTCGTCGCGTTGAGGCAACTGAAGCGCTACTAGAATACCGCTCGGGGCCAAGACTGCCGTAGCCTGAGTCGCGAGATGGTATCGAAGACGCATTGGCGCTACTCGATCTCGAACGGTGATCCCTTGTTGGAGGACGGATCTTATAAGAAGGAGTCAGCATTCTACGATAATCATTGGAGTGGAGTAGCAACACTGAATCAATCCCTGATCTGGGAAGACCTACCTCGATATTGGCAACGTTTTCGTAGCGTTGCTGCTCCTGTCTCGCGTCGGTGTGGCGAGAGGAAGTACTGGCCCTCGATTGAGGTCGAGATCGCAAAGGCGTCGGGTTCCGTTGACTCTCCCGAGAACTGCGCCTGTGCATGTCACGACCCCGAATCTCCTGGTCGCTGCCCCGCTCCGAGCGATATGACTGATGCGAGCGAGGTCGAGCGCGCGTCTCATTGTTATGGAAACTTGGCCTCCTGCGCAGGCGAGGTTGCCGACTGTTTTCTACGCTCTCCGACCGCCCAAGACCGGAGGTCATTGTGTATGTTCGGTCCCTCGATACACTATGGTGGTATCTCTCGCGTGGACGGGGCGCTCCTTGCGATATAGGAACTGTATTCCACTCGTCATCGCCATCGTGTCCCGAGTCTGGGGTTGATGCGAGTGAACGACGACTGCCCGATGGCTCTGGATGCATGATTGGCGTCCTATTCCGAGTCCGACTGTGTCTGGATCTCCTACCGTCTTGAGCCCTACCAGTATCCGGTCTGTATCTAGGTGCTGAGGTGTGCATTTTTGGTGGAGCGCGTGGAATATCATCGACTTGGTCATTGTACATCGAGATAGCCCGGGTAGAGCGAGCAATCGGAGAATCGTCTTGTGTCGCTCGACCATGCCCATGGTACCATTCCCGGGTGGTAGACACAGAACGATATTGCACAGGCACCTCTGGCAGGTCATCTACGATCACAATGGAACTTTCTGTACCAGTATCTGAAGCATCAAACCTCAAAACTAGACCCTCGGCGTATCTTTCTAGCTTCCCGAGATTGACCCCTTTATTGACGCGCAATTTCCTCAGCCTCCCAGGATGTGCTTCTGAAGCTCGTTTGACTCGATCCAATTCGTCCCTCAGACGATTGATGTCTCTCCAGTACAAGGAAGACACGCTGGTGCCACCTAGCGATGCTCGCTCGCTAATAAGCGTCCTAGTGACTCGTTAGTCGGAACGTTGTTCGAACACTGAAGTGTGGGCGTGCCGCACAAGGAAATAGAGAGCTGAGCAATAGTAATCCAATCCGAGTATACTTCAAATCGTTTGGCATATTTGCAGATTTGATCACTACCTGCCGAGATAGCAACGTAATTCCAGGCTCTGACAGTCCGGGATCCGATGAACTTGTCGTAGAATCTTTCGAATTTTTCTATCTGGAAAAGGGAGTGCTCGATCAACTTTCGCGTCTCACGTCTTAAGTAGCGGACTCCTTGTGCGTTTATACCATTCAGTAAATCAATCTCATCTTCAACTTTGGAAAGTTTTTGCCTGAGAATCTTCTTCTGTCTTCGGACTTCCAGTAGATGTTGCCGAGATCGAGGCACTCCGACTGACCTACTTCCCAGTCCAATCAAGGTCACGATCAGTCCTACAGAACTACCCACGATACTTATAATAATACTAGCAATATTTGACGTGTTAGATAAGTTTCATGCTCGTCAATAGTAGGTACTCTGCTTACTTTGGATCCAACATTGCACATCATGAAATTGGCATTGGTATTGATGAAAGAGTGTATTACAGAGGGGACAAAGTAATGCATACTTTTGCCAGGTATCACAGCAATGATCTTACCCCTCTCCATCCTATTTCAATAGATCAAGCTAGATACTAAGGGTCTATCCTAATATAGTTTGGTTGACACGACTGCGAGTGGCGCAGAAGCAGAAGTGCACTTTTTATCACCTGACCTAAGTAATGTCACCGTAACATTGAGAAGCTCATTCTTATTAGTGGTTGGGATGATACGCAAGTTTTAATTCTCCAAACCATCATGATTGCTTGCTTGATTGTGTTTAACGTCATGCAGGACAAGCCTACAAATGATCCCTCAACCTCAGGGGAGGTATTAGACGAGATAAACTGTTCTATTATAGTCATGTCGTGGCTCTATGTCCACTCCTTTGAGAGCTGCCCCAAGCTCAAGATTCTAAGGATCAAGCGCATCTTATAGAACTCATCCCTAATGGAGAGTGTGAAGATTGAGTGACAAGGGGGCTGTGCCACGTTGCCGTAGAGGTCGGGTAGGTCGACTAATTACTGAACGATGAATTATGATTGGCTCTCCTGTGACGTGAACCAGATTCAGTCTGGCCGCGACGCCATTCCGAGCTGATACTTTCTAGAATAGGCGACAAGGTCGCGGTACTGCCCGGTCGGATAGCCGCAAGGTGATTCGCCTTGTTGATTAGGTAGGCTGAGTTGGCAGTTCAAATCTTCAGCGTCTTTCCAACTGATAATGCAGATTTGTATTCTGCGACACGCCATATATACCGTTAATCCCAACGGACGATTAACAGCGTCGTTTTACCTCCGTCATATATTCTTAATAAATTGACATTGATATTGAACTTTTCAACCGAAGTCCAACTTGTTTCAACCCTAGTCGTTTGGAGGATCAGAGCTCAAGCATAAGTTTCGCGTAGATATTCAATGTTACCTAGCTGCTGCCTTTTAGCTTTAACCACTTTTAAGGCTTTAATAACCCGTCATTTGGAGCCAAAGTCACCCATATTCTTTTGAACCTCGACATCTCAGACACGAAAAAGCCGGGTCTTATAATACCACGATAATTTGATAAATTCCCCAAGCCTTGGCCCAGGCCTCATTACTATCAGCGTGACGACATCGTACAACTCCTGTCTGCCCGTATTACTTCCTACCTTAGCAGGGAACAAATAAAGCTTTTCGCACTTCCCATTCGCAGTATCAACGCATAGCTATAACCGGTGTTACAACTAAGATTGTCGTCGCGCAGCCAGATCATGTAAGTCGCCGGTCTCGCCGACCTGGACGCGTCCGCCGCTTGATTGATCAGCTCTCTTCGGCCCGCTAGCAACCGCGCCGTCGACCTGGTCTTTGATTGCTTCCCCATGTGCTTCGGCGTGAGAGCCTATGTCGGCCTGTGTGGTGTCGCCATAGTTCGACTTTTGCTCGTCTACGATATTCCTGTTTTTGCGAAGAGGCCGAGGTTGTTAGTTGGTGCTCTGCAGTCCCTTCAAAAGGGGACAGACTTAGTTAAGTCAGCCAAACTTACTGAGCTTGTCCGTGCTGATTTGAGTCGAGCGGCGTTTGCTCGATGTGGGAAGGGTGTCCGCCAGCGGAGTAGCCAGCCATTTTGATTGGTGGTCGTCTTGTAGAGTTTGATTGGGTGGGAGGCAGTAAGCTTCCTCGATACACGATAGTTCTTGATAGCAATTAGAACTAGAGTTATATCTGTCTGTTTTGATTGAATTAAAATTTGGGAGGCATGTCAACATCTGAAGGCCTTTCTAGTGATACCTTAAGTAGAAAGATATACCTATTCACACAGGGTCCTCCGACGCGTACCGAGCAAGTAGGACAATTGCATCATACCTATAATGTGGGGTGGTTCATGGTGACGTATTGTGTCACCCCATAGCCACAGAGGCCCCTTTTTATCTCTTTTCTCTACGGGATATATTACTGGCTGAAAATAAGCTTTAAATTTAGCAGTATTTACCTTCCTAATGTTTGTTAACAGTGACGATATTAGTGAAATGGCTCTGTACGGGAGCCCTTTCGAAAACTACTATATTGTTATGATCGCTTCTTGCCGAAAGCTGTTAGTGGCTTTTTTAGTGGGATAAGGATTCTAATTGTCGGTTCCTCATTAAAAGAGGCCGAGTTTACTTGATGTATTAATAGCTGCTAGTTCCTCTCGAAATGCCGTACCGATTTGAAAATCTTCTTTATGATGTTTGTAGACATGTTAACGCTGGAACCTGGAGTGATTCTAAACGTGTTAGGTTTCTATCTGGGACTAGTTTTTGCAAAAGTTTGATCTTATTGCAAAAAAGATGACAGAGATAGTGCCATAAGCTGATCACATGACTCACCTATACCCAGGTTTCCTAGTGTAATGGTTATCACAGCGGATTTTGATTCCGCTAATCTGGGTTCGATTCCCAGGGAGACCTTAATAATACGTAAATTTTTGGGGTTTCCGCCCTTGCTATTATATCTGATTTACTGTTATTAAGTATGAATTTTTGTGAGGATAGCCACTCCTAGAAGTGGCCTACCTAGGTGTAACTTATAACAATACGTGTGCCACTCTGAGTACAGCTAGCCTAACAAACCGGGAATCTCGCCCAATTGGTGTTGTACCTTATGGTAGTTTCACATGCATTGTTCGGCAACTTGCATTGCGATGCGACGCGCCAGTTGTACAGCCATTGGCAGTTTAATCTTTCTGTTAAATTGTTCGTCCATATATCTCCTAGGACTGCGACTTTGTTGTGTAGATGCGGATCGCCTTCGGTGTTGAATAACATTACAACCACGACGACCAAACTGCTACTCAACTGTCGCGCAGGGGTGACAATATAGGCTATTGAGCGCTATCGCGCACCAACCGCTTTGTTTTGGCGTGACATCGATGTATTCGTAAATGGAAAATGACGCCTTGAATCGACTCGCACGTCCCTTGTTGTAGACCCAAGAGCGGAATAGCCAATTGTTGCCCAGATTTCCAGGGAATTGATCATTTTGCGGAATCTGTAGATGGAGCTGGTGATTCCGATACTGTCTTCAGTGACGCGATATTCTCGTCAATGATAGCAATTTCAGCATCAAGTCGAAGAATCTTCTCTTCTACCATGTTCATATAGTCTTTGTCAGACAGCCGCTTCATAGGACTCCATTTCGAATCTAGCCAATCCTTCTTCGGTTTCGATCCAGCACTCTGGGCTAGTTGGGACACATAGGAACTTCCAGCTCCTAGGGTGCCAAAGACTAGCATCCCTGGTAAAATGTTCCTGGGGCCACCTGAGAAAGTTGAGAGCTGGTTCGAAGAAAAGTTGAAAGAAGAGGGCATTGCTTACGGATCATACCGCCAACCATACCCGATACACTGCCAGCCGCTCCGCCTACTTTTACCAAGTCCGAAGAGCTCAGGTTCTCTTCACCCCCCCAAGCATGATAAAGGAGGTCTCTCGAAGCTGATGCCAATTAGTGCGTGACTCTCCCAGAGACCTGAGACCTGGAATCTCACCCATATAGCTCGAGCCCAAAGCAAACCATTGCAAGCTTGCAAATAGTGCAAATATGGTAGGTGGCGCAGAACGTATGATTCCAGTACCAGCACCCACAAAAAGTCCGATTCCACCTACAAAGCGCCATTAAGCACAGGCGCGAACATAAGAAGGACAGGGGTAATACAAACCTGTGACCATACCAGTCTGGAGGGACTTGGTACCTATCTGCCATAACTCGGTAGACGATGGCATCTCTCTATAGCTAGCGACTTGAACTTGAGGCCTAGGAGGCTCAACGGAAGGCAGAGCAGGAGTTTGTCTTGGTAAAGCATTATTTGGTGATGACGATGATAACGGCAATGGTGGTTCTTGTGCTTGTTGCTGTTCTTTTTGCTGTTGAGGGGTGGATTGAGACCACCAAGACCAAGGAGCCATTTCGATTTGGCTGTATGTGTATGCTGCAGTAGCGACAAGAAAGTCGACAAGATACTAAACTGCACTGCACGTAAGAGCGTGGTTGGGGTAAATTGAGACAAATTCCTTCAGAATGCAATATAGCTCGGAAAACATCGGAGCCGCAATATAAGCTCCACCAAAGATGATTGAGCCCTGTCAACAAACGATAAAACCTGTGGTTTTGCTATTGAATAGGTAGATAACAATCGTGGTTGATTATTGTCGCAAATTATATAAAATGGAATGATACAAGAGGTTGAACAAAGCAATGAAGTAAGTGGTAAAGAAGCAATTGAAACAACAGTTGACAGGAAGTAGGTACACTGCCAAATGCTAAGTTGAATTTTAGAACTAATTACCTACAGTAACCTAACCTACATTAGTACATTAGGTAGGTACCTCAGAGGTAGTGGTGTCGCTCATATAGTGCTGTGCTCTAATCATTACTATGCATAGCGTTTAAAGCTTCGATTGAAACTGTGTACAGTAAGATCACATAATGTCAACCTACTGTCAACATAGGCAGGCGTCAGTCAGGTACACTCACGTCAACCAATTGAATCATCAATGGGACCTTTGATCTGATTATCATCTGTTTTGCTGTAGAGGGGCAGCAGAGTGAAAATGTTAATCTGCAATATATACTACCTATTCTAGCAGTGACCTCTCAGGCACTGGCTGTACATCGATAGCTAGGTATGCTCCACGTAGAGAGAGACCTTAACAAACAAGTTTAAGCCAGCATCGGTATTAGTACGCTGCAGCCACGAAGCCGGTTGATGTTAGCGCTTGTATCGGTACACTCAGGCTTTAGCTACCTACTACTACATAGTAGGTAGGTAGGTAGGTAGGTAGGTAGGTAGGTAGGTAGGTCTTAATCGCCCTTTATCGCGCGGTAGGTAGCGGTAGGTGGGAAGGTAGTACACTGCTAGAGAGTAGTACTTACCCGCCGACCAAAGAGAACTAGAGAAACCGGAGAACTGGCCCAAGCGGCCCACCCACCACGAACCTTGGAATTGCCCAGCACCCAAAATTACCCTCCTCAGTAATTAAATTTTTCTTTCCGAAGAGGCAAGCGTCTCCCCTTGCCAAACCCTCCCGGAGACCACCCTTTGAGATCCCGTTGTGTGCCAATCGACCCATCCTCGCTGAGATTGGCGACATAGTGTGCCTCGCGTCGCCCTGTCTCTCTCTGTCTCTCCGTCTGTCTGCCTCTACCCGCTGACCGACCAACTGACTTTCCCGTTCCGCTCGGCCTGTTCATTCATTCCTGCCCGCGCGCGCGACCCTCTTCGTCTGTGCTACCTACACCGAACTGTCCTCGACCGCGCATCGTCTGGATACTGCAATCATGCGTATGTTGCTGCCCCTCTGATCGGCCCCTCTTGTCGGCCTGCCCCGTCCTGCTCACCACGTTGTGCTGACATGCATGTCCTGTGTAGCGCCTAAGAAGAAGGAACAGCAGCAGAAGATGTCCCTCGGGGCCTTCTTGAATGAAGAGAGTTAGTCCCTTTGATCTCGGCCCCGCCCCGCTGTTGATGCGGCTCTGAACAGAACACACGTCTAACGCGGATGCATAGAGTACGGTGGATCCTGGGCTGATGAAGTCGAGGAGGTTGTCGGTACGTTATAGTAAAGACTCTCTCTATCTCTCACGAGCGTGTTGCTAATAGACAACTACTAGGCTCCCAGCCTCTGCCTCCTTCCACTGTCGAGCGCAAGACTGGCTACTCCAGCTACTCTGGCGGCTATGGCTCTAGCAGCAACGACCGAGGTGCGCTCTCACGCCGCCTTGTCCCTGATCTTTCTAATCTCTTTTGTTCCAAGTACTAACACCAATTCTCAATCAACACAGGCTACCCCCCTCGTGACTCTTTCCCTACCCAGCTTCCCACAAAGCCCCCTTACACCGCCCATCTCGGCAACCTCTCCTACGAAGCGACCAGTGAGAGTGTCACTGATTTCTTCAGCGACTGCGAGATTACCAGTGTTCGCATCATCGAAGACCGAATCGAGCAACGTCCTAAAGGCTTCGCTTATGCCGAATTTGCTACTGTCGATGGCCTTAAACAGGCACTAACTCTTGACGGATCAAGCTTCCAGGGCCGCACCATCAAGGTCAGGATCGCGGACCCTCGTAAGTTGACACGAATACGTGAATCTTGGAGAGAATGTCTGCTAACTTCATCCTGTAGCCAAGGAGCGCGAGAACCGGGGTGACTCGGCTCGAGACCTGCCCAGCTGGGAACGTAAAGGCCCCCTAGCTGATGACCCTTCCCGCAGCAACAACCGACGTCCCAATGATTTTGGTGAGCGTCGTACCCCCAGTTTTCGCGAGGGCCCGACAGACGATGGAAAGGCACGGGACTTTGGAAACTGGGAACGACGAGGCCCTCTATCGCCTCTCCCACAACCCGAGCGTTCCATGTCGCGCACCGATAGCCGCCCTCGGGGAAGTGATGCCGGCCGTGGGGAGGGTCTCCGACAAGATCGTAGAGGCTCACCTGCGACATGGGGCGAAGGACGCCAGGAGGGCTCACGGCCTCCTAGAGAATTTAGAGATCGTCCAGAACGTCCAGAGCGGGTTCCCACGGCTGCCGAGCTCGATAATCAATGGCGTAACAACATGCGCCGCGATGCGCCCGTCAAGTCTCCAGAACAATCCCGCGAAGGTAGCGAGGCACCACCTTCGCCAGCTCCAGGTCCCGCTACTGTTGCCACTGGTGGTGGTCGCCCTAGACTCCAACTCGCGAAGCGAACGGTTTCCGAAGCCCCGGATGTTATATCGCCAAGTGCAGCCGGCGATGCGAAAGCAAGCCCCTTTGGCGGTGCCCGTCCTATTGATACGGCAGCGAAAGAGCGTGAGATTGCTGATAAGCGAGACCAAGCATTAAAGGAAAAGAAGGAAGCCGAGGAGAAGGCAAAGGAAGAGCGTCGCTTAGCCAAGGAGGCCACTGCGAAGGAAGCTGCTGAGAAGGCTGCCGCTGATGCTGAGGCGGCCAAGGCAGAGGTAACCGAGGAGAAAACCGAGGCTCCTGTCGAATCTAAGGAAAAGGAAACACCAACAGAGACTGCTGAGAATGGAACCACTGCAGACCAGAAGTTACCTTCTAGGCCTAAAGAGAGCCACCAAACCCCCAAATCACGAGCAGTAGAGAGCGGTAACTGGCGGACAGCATCAGGAGAGCAGCGACAGGGTCGTGGTGGTTATGTCAATGCGCCACGCGGCCGTGGAGATGCTCGAGGACGTGGTACTCCTCGTGGCCCTCGAGGCGGCTATGAAGGCAGAGGCCCACGTGTAAATGGAAATCCTCCCGCCGCCGCTGCTGCTGCTGCTGCGCAGCAACCTACCCAACCCGCATCTACCGCTCCCGAAGCAGAGGCTGCCCCTGCCCAAGATCCCGATGGCTGGACCACTGTACCGTCAAAAGGCCGTCGCACTCGCGTCTGAGGTAACATGTACGACGGTCTGTATAAATCAGATT